TATGTATATATAAGTTATATACTCCACGCCACACTAATATAGCATAGTACTGTTTGAGATGCTTAAGATTGCTTTTGAGCGGTTTGACTCGTATTGTACGGTCTCCTGGGACCGTATTCCTTATTTGTATACCATTCTATAGTCCCGTGTCATTTTACTACTGATTTGTCCTGCATACTGCACAGATTGCCCCGTCCCACTCACCCCACATACGTGACATCTTTGTAGCGAGTGCGGGCATACCTCACTTTCCAGAGTCGTGTATTTGACGATTGCCAATCCCGCACCTTGCAGCTGTATGTAGTGGTCTATGCTCATCGGTGATGGCGTGGGATGGTTGAGCTCGTACACCATGCTATACGGAAAGTAACCTGAGTCACAGTATGTAAAAAGTTTATTCAGGTGGGCTGAGAACAGGGTGTTTGCCACGGTTACAGCCCATGTAGCTGTATATAGAGTGGTCTTGATTCGTCTGTGTGAGTATAAGTTTGTGTTGATGGTCCAGACAGTAGGCCACAGTACTTAAACAGGGTGTTCCGAATGAACTAGAAATTCACCCAGATGCAGGTAACTGTAGCTGGATGTAGGGGTCGATGCGCAGGGCGTATGGGATTATTTTGTGCTGCGCATGTAGAATGTAGATTCACGGACTGACAACGGGTTAGTTACCAAGGTAAACGAGATGTTAGCTGTATATAGTTGTCTGTGCTTATTGGTGTAAGCATACTACACGGAGAATATGTGGATATCAAGAAGACATAACACAGACGCTGGGACTGAAACCCAACTGTCGACCAAGGCAGAACAGCTGTAGCTGTAGTTAGGAGTGGATGATCATTGGTGTCAGAATGGGATAGATGAGCTCTGAAATTATGCCATACGGCAAGTGCTCTGTGAATAGGAACCGAAGGAAGCAGCACCAACTTTATTTACAAAAACTATTGTACTTCGTAGTTCAGTTATCAGAAAAGCCTCTACGAGTGATAAAAAGAACGTTCATAAATGAAAACTGGACAGTACCAGACCCAATGCAATCACCAAGTAATATCATCTAAAGCCGGTAAGGACAGTACTATTCGAATCGCAATTGTAGAGAATACGGCAAGGCTCACTCACTGATACAGAAAGCTTAATTGCCTACATGACACGGCACACTAACCACTTCAAGAAGCTTAATAGCACTCAATAGGTTACACTCGCACTGCTTCACGGTTTAGGATGTAGCTGGATGACTCCGTTGGTACAGGAAGTATATTTGTCAACTGCACACCACACCCTTAAGCCCTTTAAGAGACTTAATAGCACTCAATAGGGTATACTCGCACTGTTTCACGGTCTGGGATGTAGCTGGACGGCTATGTTGGTACAGGAAGTGTATCTGCTAACAGCACACCACACCCTTAAGCACAACAAACCACTGAATAGCACTCCATTGATTTTCTCATATTGTTTCTAGGTTTAGGATGCATCCACAATCGAGAGGATGCGATGGTTCAGTGAAGTATCTTTGTACGCCCACACACACACACACACACACACGCATTGGCAGTCGTTTCACGCGCTGTTACTATTCGCTGAGTGCAGACAGTGTGCCTGGGAATTCTACACGCTACAACACACACCAGTCTTTCCGTCCTGCGTACACCCGTACCAATACCCAAGGTCAGCATTGGGGGTATCCTTGTCCATGATCGTAATGATCGATCCCGCGGTAAAGGATAGTGCTCCAGGCTGCTCGGCCTTGTATGTGTATGTGGCAAATGCTTCACGCGTTCCAGCGTCAGACAGGAGACGAAGGAAATGGATGATAGGAAAGAAAACAGTGGAGGATGACAGGGGAGATTAGACGAGATTATACGCATGATTACGGTAAGTTCGGTAGTATATCTCACTGTCCGCGTATTCTACATCGTTCATACCGTTTGCTTGATACTCACTGACTTCGTGCTGTGCGTAGATACTAAGGCAATACGTGGTATATGAACCACTTCTGGGGTGTGCATGGTCTGAGCGAGCCCACGGCTTGATTGTGTGTTGTGCGTGTGCATACGCTTGTTAGTCGGATAGATTGCGATAGCACTTGTGCGTGTAACTAAACGCATAGATCAGATAATAAGTACAGTAATGAGCGCGGCTCCTTTTATAACGGATACCGTTGCACGAGTCGTCATATATTGCCTAGGAACACTTATCGCTAATTGAACCGCTTACAATATCCCCCAACGACCTTACACCGCTTTGTAATTACTTACAAGCGAACCTTCTATACAATCGAAATTTCGAGTTTTGCAACTTACCTTTTGCTTTAGCGCTAAGCTGTTTAGGATTGGTCGAGCTGCCTATAGTTTCTATACTGTCCCCCATGGTCTGCAACGTAGCTTCAGTATTTGTATATACAATTCAAAGTACGAATGAGTACGGATAGAAGTATATCCATCAAATTTCAAAGAAGCTTCAATTGGGATTGTTTTTGAAACAAATGTGCGGCATAAGAAAAGAATATCGCGTTAAGTACACATGTATATAACATATACGCGCTGCATAGTGACCAATCGAATCCCCAAGTGTACCTAGTAGAAATTGCACTGAGGTGGTGGGCTGGAGGGTTCACCTATGTTTCACGCATGCATGCATGTATGATAGCCGTATGTGTCTTCCCTGCCAATTTACATACCACCCGATTACCAGTAATTTGGATTTCCCACACTTAATGAGCAGCCCAGATCAAATGCGTTGCCATAGCAACGCTTGAGAACGGGAGCGGAATTAAAATATGTACAACTCAGAAGTCGACAATCACTACACTCTTGGCGTTTGGGTATCCGAACGTATATTTTGACTGTCTCAGCGGTGGTTATGCACTCGGCTGCGACTGTGGCTGTGTTCGAACCCACGTACGTCACTCATCAGCTGCTCCATGTACAGTTGCAAACGATAAGACCGCCACACGGATGTACACTATTTATAAACCCTAAAACCCCTAAAAACTATTGACTGACTTACTTCCGACTTTGTTGCCTCCAGCCATAGCTATGGCGGTTGCGGTCGCCTGGGATCGTAGTCCTAAAGCCATCTGTGTGCATGTCAACAGAACGAATGTCAATATAGCACGCTGACGCTAGGCATAGCCAAACGCCTATGTACATCTAGATAGTAATCCTTGTACATCTATGGACATCTAGATGATCGGTGACGATAATTGAGCCGTAGTACTCCACCAGGGCGTGCTTTCGCATACCCTTCAACAGTGTCCTAAGTTTAGAACATATGCGCTCTGACACTCAGACAACCCTCCCTGTATGCACTCACTGTCACACGGACTAGAACCATCGCACCAGCAATCGCACACAGCCCAGTTCTAACACCCAATAAACTAAACAGCCCCAATACCCTTGCCTAAGTACCTTGAATGCTGTCTGACCTGCGTAGTTGATGACGCCTGTGTCTATGTCGGCGTCCAGCAGTATGCGCGCGCACTCGACTTGATCACGTGCGGCGCAGATGTGCAGGCAAGTGCCTGTCCAGAGAGAAATATAGCGGGGAGGATGGTTATGGTCAGCTATCGAATAAAGGACTCTCCTCTTGACGGGGATTTAGGACACGAAGTACCAAAAAGGCTTGGTTGACTGTAATCTACATGAGTGGTTTGTAAGTGTGGCTCTAGTTCCGTAGCAGTACACTCCACTGTTGAAGGTGTATAACCGTGGGTGTCAGGGCGACTGGCGTAGGTAGCATTCGCCCCACTCAAACAGCTCAAGAGTTATATATATGATGCACTGCCATTGGCTGTATGTACGATACTTTGTGTTCATGTTTGTTCATGTTGGTGGTTCATGTTGGTGGTTGTGAGCTCCAATTTGTAGTGGTGTGCTATCGTCTTTCCAGAGTCTCGATATGGGTGCTCAGTTACTATACCGCGTGGTGTGGTAACAGACCGTCAGACACCGCATCAGTGTATCACTAATAGCATATAAATATAGAACGATACCGATAAAACTACCTATGTATGAAATCGAGGTGTGTGTGCCCCTTGTTCTTCACTACATAGCGTTTTGCTTTCGTTTTATACTTGTTGTTATATACCTCCGTGGCCATCGATTGCGTTAATCATTGCTCCTCGTTTCAGTAGTCGTCGCACAGCGGTTGGCAAGCCCCTGTAGCACGCCTACAGTAGTATCAGAGATTGCGACAAAATGTGAGCTGTAGAAAAT